CTACACATTAGGAATAAAAGAAACACAAAGATACGTTTTTAGCAGCAACGTGGCATAATCAATTTATATATATATATATATGTATATATATTACACACACACATACACACCTTGGTAGTGGCGTGGATACACTGAGGGAGGCAAGATCAGTGAATAGTGCAAGCAAAGAATGGGAAACCTTGAATACAGCGGCAATGAGAAAGGAGATAAATGTATGAAATAATATAAAGGATAAGGAATAGTACAGTATAAATAACAGGGCTTAGGCAGGGGATGGACTAGTAGTAGTAGTAGTAGCAGCAGCAGCAGCAGTAGTAGCAATCTTTGAGTGAGATTCTATATACTGTTTTTGACGGTGAAGTGTGGCAGAATATGCCACCATAAAATATGCCACTTTGGCATAAGATTATTTTGAGCTAAAGGAACTTGAAAACTAGCGGATACAAAAAAGATATTGCCCTCCTGTACCAGGAAAACAGTAACATTCTTATCACTAAAGAGAGAAAACTCACCTGTGAAAGATGCCCTCCCTGTACAAGGGAAGAAGAAACACTCTTATTACCAGAGATGAGTTAAAGTGGAGAAAAATCCGTACAAATGGTTTTTGTTAAAATAACTCTTACCTTCCTTTAGTCTTTTCATACAGTTACTTTTCCACAATTGCTACTCTTCATTCAACCCACTGTATAAGCATTTAGGTTTTGCAACTTCTTTGGGTCTTCATTTTCCTATGGAGTACCCATGTACATGGGAAAATGCATTTGTTTTTCTCCTGCTAGTTCACCTTGCATCAATTTGATTATCAGGCCTAGCCAGAGACCTTAAGATGGTAAAGTTTTGCCTCCCATACAAAACATCCTCCATTTCATGAGGACTCACAGAAGGTAATGCTTCCTCATCAAAGTGGTGAATGGGAAAAATAGAAGAAAAAAAGCGAGCCAGTCATAGGTCTAAAAATGATCAGTCTTTACTCTAATTTAGATTGATAACAGTTTTACCACTGTAATTACAAATAACTATTCCAAAGTTTATTTTAAAGCCTTTTTTCATAAATATTCTAATATACAGTCTTATAAAACCTCAGAAGTTTCAGAGACAAGGTAATAAAAATAGAAATACTGTTGATGGAGGACCCAGAAAGGCGATCTACCTGGGGCAAACATTACTGGGAAACTGCAAAAGTCCATCTATAGGGATGGCCAAGCAACACAAGAAACACATACGAAATTCTGTTGCATTGTCACAAGTGCCTCTTAGGGTTTCAACAACAAACAAATTGAAGAGCTACATCGCATGATTTAATAAGATGATTCGCACTCCAAGTACATAACAACTTAAGTGAACCAAAAGACTGAAACAAATTAGAACTATTCCAAAATATTCAGCCTTCTCATCACTTTAATTCCCCAACTGTTCAACTTTCCTGTGATTCTCTACTTTTCTTCTTACCACCCATCTCCCTAATGTAAAATTAAAATAATTTATGCATTTGGGATACTTACTAAGTACTCTGTTTTTAATTTTAAAATCTTGAGATTAATATTTTACACTTAAACAATTAAAAAGCAAAATCAAATTAAATTTTTACTAGTAATTTAGTGGACTTTGCTGAGAAAAAAAACAAAAAACCAAACCATATATTCTTATATAGTCCTAATTCCCGCAAATATTATAAATAAATATAAATCATGATAAAACTAATATGAATTTTTAAAAATTTCCTCTTCAAAAGTAAGTTTGCGTGTTCCGAATGTGCTACTGCTGTCAGTGCTGTACTGATTTTCCAGCTTTCTTCTCTGAGTGGTATAAGAAACTTGCCCTTTTTTGCTAGGAACATTAAAACTCAAGAGATACAATTAAAGCTTTAATTTTGTAGTTTACTGTTTTACATTACCTCTACTTCACCTTCTTTATGTCCTTCAGTTTCAAAGAAAGGAGACAAACAAACCTGGGGAATTGTTAAAAAGTAAAAATCGAAGTGACAATGTTATTTGAGTTCAAAAAGCGCTGTAGTTTATAAAATCGACAAGGCTTTAAAAAAAAAAATTATGCTTCCCCAAGTGTGTATCAATTATATAAAGCTTTGAGTAATAAATGGCATGAAACAAAGTTCCAACGTTTTCAAGTTTTATTTTTAAAAGAATATATTACAACATTATGTAAAAAAAAAGAGAAAAACAAACAAACATGATACTATTTTTTTCCAACTCAATAGTTCTTAGCTTTACCTAGAATCTTCACATAGTTGACGTTCACTTCTTTTGAACCCTTTCTGACTAGTATTTTACCTTATGTATTCTTTATAGTATTTCCATATTACCTCTACCTAGATCTATTCAGAGCACAGTACAGAAAGGGCAGCACAAGCTACTGACACCTTTGTCAGTAGTATGATGTTTTTTCATCCAGCTTATGTGAGAATGAAAAGAATGAAAGTGAACATTTAATTTAACTTAGGGTTAATTATGTAGCTCCAGATAATCTCTTCAGAACTCCCCTGCTTCACCTTCTCAAGTTAATCAACAGTGGTTAGTTTAAGACTGCAAACCACTTACCAAATTGCCTAAAAGAGGAAACTTTCAAAAATAACAATTTGTTGATTGCTCCAATAACTTCAATAAAGTCAAATTTGCTTTATTTTTCCAAAAATTATGTTGTCAAGATAGAGACTCTTTGTAAGTGTAAATGTATGGTGTATTATGAGTTGATTAGTCCGTTAGATAGTTGTTAGACAAAAGTTATTAGAGGAAAGTTTAAGAAAATTTGGATTCCAAATTTCAACTTGATAATATATATGAAATATTTTATATTTTCAATATATACTTATCTTTTGCCCACTGTCTATACACTAACTTAGAAATGTTTTAAGTCATTTCATTGTGTATATATCTATGCTGTATAAAGAAAAAACAAAGGAAGAGACAACTTTTCTTCTAACTTCCATAAGAAAACTTCAAAACTATTTCCTTTTAAGATTGAATATTTCAAAAGGGAAAAATTATTATTTGAAGGGAAATGACTTGTCTTTCTAAAAGGTAAAATATTGGCCTATTAACCACAAGGTGGTGCTATAATTCCATGCTGCTACTGGTATTTTATAACTTAATCGATACAGTAGTTTTTTTCCTTATAACCATAATCTCTTATTTTTTATAAATGTACTTCTCTGGCAATTGAAAAAAATTAAACCTAACAGGCTTCATTAATTATGGAAATATTTACTGAAACTCTGTTAAATTCAAAATTGTATGTTTCTGTGGGCTAAAATTTCATTTTAAAGTCTGATGACCAAATATTTATTAGAATACTAAAAATGCGGCCAGGCATGGTGACTCACGCCTGTAATCCTAACACTTTGGGAAGTTGAGGTAGACAGGTAGTTTTAGCTCAGGAGTTTGAGAACAGACTGAGCAACATGGTGAAACCCTGTCTCTACAAAAATACATAAATTAGCCGGGCATGGTGGTACAGGCTTATAGTCCCAGTTACTTAGGAGGCTGAGGCACGAGACTTCGCTTGAACTTGGGAGGTGGAGGTTGCAGTGAACGGAGATCATGCCACTGCACTCCAGCCAGGGCAAAAGAGTGAGACCCTATCTGAAAAAGAAAAAAAAAAAATACCAAAAGTGCTTTCTTAAAAGTGATTTCTTAAGCTGTTTTAAATTTACAAAAACAAAAACACATTTTTAAGTGATTTCTGCTCATAACAATATTTTACATTTGACAGTGAAATACAGAATGATACATAAATAGATGAATAAAATATAATCAGATGATCCATATAATAAAAAATAAAATACTCTTTTCCTTCCAAATAATAAAGTCAATTTTCTTTAAGATTTTCTGGGACTGTTACACTTTTATCTATAAAATTTTTAAAAATATAATTTATATAGTAATATTAAAAATAAATTTCATTTTTCCATAGATTTAACTTCAGCTAAGGCTTTTTTTCTCTCAAAAAAAATGTATAATTTTTGATCATTTTAAAAAAACAAAACACCGCACTGTTATCTTCTAATGCCAGCTAGAATGACTACATTCTCTGTTATACTGGTCTTAGAAAGTGTTAAACGACCGGGCACGGTGGCTCACGTCTGTAATCTCAGCACTTTGGGAGGCCGAGGCAAGCAGGTCACCTGAGGTCGGGAGTTCGAGATGAGCCTGATCAACATAGAGAAACCCTGTTTCTACTAAAAATACAAAGTTAGCTGGGCCTGGTGGTACATACCTGTAATCCCAGCTACCCAGGAGGCTGAGGCAGGAGAATCACCTGAACCCGGGAGGCAGAGGTTGTGGCGAGCTAAGATCTGCCCTTGCACTCCAGCCTGGGCAACAAGAGCGAAACTCCATCTCAAAAAAACAAGAAGTGTTACACAACAGAGCACTACAATGTTCAACATGTTTCTTATGGTGAACCTTGAGATCCGTTACCCAGTACAAAAGGAGAATCTTAACCTTAATTTCTCAGTGTTAATTGGAAAGGTATTGCCATTTTTGACTAAACATGAAATAGCTGTCTTCTTGTTTAATTTTCAATGAGCATTTTTAACTATTCATTATAACTTATTCATCAGTACACATGGCAAGATGGTATATTTGAGAGCCTCCTGGGTATAATATGCAAGTTCCAACTGGAATGTTTCCAATAGGATGTAAACCATAGTCCTCAAGCTTGTGGTTTAAAAAACACTACTTAGCACACTGCCAACAAATGTCAGCACAAAAATACAGTGCTGTAATGACTTCACTCTGTGTAAGAGAAATATACTGGAACATGAGTTTTTCCTAAAAAAAAAAAAGAAAAAGAAAACGAAAAAGTGACACAAGGTAAAGTAGTATAATCGTTGCTCAAAAATATTACACGATTTATTCAATAATGAATGAAAAAATTCATAGACCAAATGAAATTGAAATTGTCAAAAATATTGCAGCATATTAAAATTGTAGAAAGAATTCTTAAAATATACAACATGTACAGTAACCGAAGTCCTAGAGTTAATGTAGAAAATCCTACAATTAGTGATTTGAACATTTCAGTAACTCTGCAGTTTCTTCAAACCTGAAATATAATAGACAGATAATGTATTAAGTAAATCAATAATTCACAATAAAGCCCAACATTTTAGTTATTGAAATTATGATTTTTAAGCTAAAATAAATTTGAATATTTTTCTTATCTATAAGTACAGTTACTATGAATAAACTGTGTCCAGAGGGAAGAAAAACAAAAGTCAATCATGAGTCTTGTATTCTTAGAGTGTAAGTTATTTTAATACTTTTTACATTTCAAAAGAATATTATAATTCTCCAAAGTAGGCTGCATAATCATCTTACATGCAATTTCACTTTATATTTCCTTTGAACTGCTCTTTAGAAAACTTACATCATTTGTACTAGATAAAAACATTTTTAGTATCTTATCAATAACTTGCCAAAAAACACCAGTGATATTTTCACAATACTGAAAATGTCTCCAAACCAACCATCTACATATATTATATAATACTTTGATAAATCAGTTATCAAAAATAGGTAATACTCTTGATTAGTTACCAACTAAAAATATCTTTGTAATAATCTGCAGTTAATTCCATTAACAATTCCAACAAATTTTACATCACTTGTTGGAAAGTAAAACAGTGACTCATCTCACAAACATATAACTGTGGGTGAATTTATTATCCAATGGAGTCCTGAAGGAAATTCCACACCTGATAGAGAGACCTTTAAGTTTTAAAACACACATGCACATTCTATATATACTGTAATCCAGTACAATTCCCTATAGAGAAATAAATTTCTGTTGCCCCTTTCTGTTACTTACATTTTTTTCATCCTTTCCATTTTCTGGATTGTTGTTTCCTTTAATTTAAAAAGCAACAAATGTTAGGTGACTTCTCAAAGTAAACCATCATCAAAGATGGACCCAGAATGTATAAAATACAGTCTAAAACATTGCTCTAAGTACTGTTTACTTAAGAAAGAATTTGAAAGACTAAGATTTACAGTTTTGCTATTTTTCTTGCCAGCAATATATAGAACTGAAACTAATGCTTGCTTGTTTTCCTAATTTAGAAAGAAAATAATCTAAGCATTTTCTTACCTCTGAAATCTCATTCAAACCACAGTAATTAATGGTAGAGGTTCTGGGAGTTGAATCTGATGATGATGCTGTACTATAGCCAGAGGACAGAGGAATACTTGCTGGCCTCTCTACTTTGCTTTTTCTGTCTGTGAAAAAAGTAAGTTTTAGGTAACCTTTTCCTTTTCACAGTCAGATATCTGAAAACATTATTTATAGACAGAAGAAAAACACTATTTTAATTAAAAATGGCTATCAGTATAGATCAAAGAGTTTTTAGTACTCTTTTAAGGTAACAGCTTACATATGGAGATTCTCATGTTAAAAATTGGCCAGTAAAAATTACAAAAGGCAGTATTATTATCATGACAGCAATAAATTTGAATAAACAGGCAAGTTAATAATTTATTTTACATTATAACCTATTTAATCAATCATGTATATTCTTTTCTTAAAATGGTGACATCTACATTAAATAATTAGTATCAATGAATTTGTCGTGATGCTTTTATTCAGCAATATTTAAGCATTTCACAATTTTTTTTTACTACTGTTCAGTGGCAAGTGACAACTACTACCATAACTGACCATATGTATCTTTTAAAAATTAAGAAACATTCTAACTTGATTTCACATATATGAAAAGAAGTAATGCAAAAAATTTAAGATTCACAGATTTCTTTTTCTAAAAAACTGAAAAACCTAACATTTCAAATATTCTGTTATTATTAATTTGACAAAATGATGGCAAATCTCCCCTACAGAAAAACCCATTAGAGACGATTACAGATAATGGAATAAATCCTACAAACCCTATGTTTTAGTCAGAAGACACTGGGCTGCAAAAGCAATCCAAAAAAAAAAAAAAAATAGACACCCATTTAAAGTGGGTCACATAAAGACAGCTTTATTGTAAGCCTACACAGACAACCTCAGTTAGGGAACAAACTATTACCATGTGAGAACTGAAATAACTAGAAGACTAACTTTCATGTCTTATAGAACCCACAGTCTCTTTTGCCTACTTCTGCCAGTTGCTCCATTTCTCTGCTTTTCTATGTAGAATGGCTTTCTCTGCTGACTCATCAGCATATACTTGAACCACATAGCCAGCCCAGTCCAGGCTCAATATCATTTCACTAACTTATTCGTGGTGTCCTAATTCCAAATTCTCCAGGCTCAATATCATTTCACTGACTTATTCGTGGTGTCCTAATTCCAAATTCTAAGAGAAGGTATTTTGACTCAACACACTTTGGATTGGTATTCTCTGGGTTAGGTGTCTATTCTTGATCCAATTAGCTAAGCCTGGGGGTCAAGATTATGGGGTATAACGCTGAAGACTACTTAAACCCAGATCTTTTAGCAGGAGCTGTGGACAAGAGATTATTTTAAGAAATAATTTGAAATTAGGCAGCAGCTATATCTACTATGCCCTAAAATTTGGATTATTTTCTATGGGTACAGATAGTTGTGCTGAATGTTTCTTACGTCTTTCCAAAAAGAGGAGGGGGCCCTAAGATATGGAAACAGGTCTCGGAAGACAGATAAAGGGTAAAGGAATGGCTCTCTTTTGTCTTCCACTTTGGGGTCCAGACTTTGAACTATCTAACCTTATTCAAGGGTATGCCTCATGGTGGGAGAAAGCTGGCATTAGGCAGCTGGCAAACTATTCATAGTTATTCCTATGGTTAGAGGTTACAGAGTGCACTATTACAGAACACCAGCTATATTTAATAGTCAGATCAGTTAAGTGCATATTAATTTTAATTTTTCCTATTGCTTTCCTGAATCTTTTAGTAAAGTCTTACTTGTTTAAACATTAATCGTTTCTTAGCTGTGCTACAGGGGATTGAGAAAAGAATTGGTAACTGAGTTCAGGCTGGAAAAAAATCAGGAAAGGCAATGGCAACTGACACCAGGCCCTGACACCAGTCACTATGTCCTTCGGTAGTGATTGCTAAGAAGTCTCTATGAAGAAAGAGACTCTTCTTCTTCTCAGTGTATGGGACATGGGATCTTCTAGCCAACTCTTACCACATGACAATCTTTCACTGCCATCTTTGGAGGCTTATCACCTTATTCCACTAAAAGAATCAGTAGGGTCCTTTACCATTTAATAATTTGTAAGCCAATACTTCTAAATCAAGGACCAATGTATGTATCTAACTGGTTTCTAGATATTTTGTCTTGTTTTAAACGTAATTTGTTATATATCAAAAGTGAATTCATTATTTCTCCCAAACCTTCTCTTCCATTAAAGAGTAACTAACAATCATCTGCCCAATCATATGAGCCAAACACAAGTAGTCAGTTTTAACTTTCTTACTCTCCTTTACTCTTTCTGTATCTATCAGGAATCATGGCTTATCAATGTTAACATCTAAATATCTCCCAAATAAATCTTTATCCTCTTTATCCTCACTATCATTGCCTTAGTAGATACCCTCATTATTATTTGCAAATAATGATCACTAAATACTCTTCAAATTATCCTTGCCTACCTTACTTTCCTAACAAATCACTATTCTGCTTTGATGACAACTTTTGTGAAACACAAACCTGAGGATATTTGCTAAAAATCTTTCTGTGAGGCTGGGACAAACTCCACGACTTGATCTTTCTACTCTTCTGCTTCAGCTTCCTTCAGCACCACACTCTTCTGTGGTGCCACACCTTCCTAATATTTTTTTCCTCTGAGATGAAAAAGGCATAAAACAAAGCAAAACGAACAAACAAGCAAACAAAGAAGCAGCCCTAACAGCTGGTGCCCTATCTGGCTATTAACACCTAACCTACTGTACCCTCTACTGAGCATAATTTCATAAAAAATAGCATCACATGAGGTCACTTCATTACTGTAATGAAACAAAACCCCTAAAACCACTGTCATGTCTGAACACAGATAAAACAAGGGCACCATGTAACCACATAAATGACTGGACAGATAAAAGCCCCCCTTACCTAATACAATCACCTATTTTATGAAAATTTCAACTCTATTTCATTCTTACCATCAATAATCAAATTGCTCCTGATTTCTGACGGCACCCATAGCCCTTGCTTCCTCAAACCCTCTCCAAAATTATCCAACACAAGCCCAATTCTTAAAAGTCTCTGCTAACTCACACTTACGAAGACATTAAGGTGCCTTACAGTTCATGGAACACTGTATTCCTGATAAAGGCAAAACAAATCTAGAACCTCACAAAAACTATTCTTGATTTAACATGATTCTAAACCAAGAGTGGTAAATTATTGCTCTCTGCATCCAAATAAAATCAAACCCTTCTAATTCCAAGTAGCATGTATAAGGTATAATGTGTCTTTTTATAAACTTGAGACTTTTGATTAACCTAGATCAGATCATAAACTCTGAGACCAGGTATTTGCCCTAATCATAATCTTTAATCCATTTCAGATAGTGGCCTATCTGTTCATTATTCTCAGTCCTGGCACAGTTTTTGAAATTTAGCTACATGAGTCTGGGCATGGTAATGCACACCTGTAATCCCAGCACTTTGAGAAGCAGAGACGGGAGGATCAGTTGAGCTCAGGAGTTTAAGGCCAGCCCGAGCAACATAGCGAGACCTTGTCTTTACTGGGTATATATCCAAAGGATTATAAATCATTCTACTACAAGGACACGTGCACACGAATGTTCATTGCAGCACTGTTTACAATAGCAAAGACCTGGAACCAACCCAAATGCCCAACGATGATAGACTGGATAGGGAAAATGTGGTACATATACACCATGGAATATTATGCAGCCATCAAAAACGATGAGTTCACGTCCTTTATAGGGACCTGGATGAACCTGGAAACCATCATTCTCAGCAAACTGACACAAGAGCAGAAAATCAAACACTGTATATTCTCACTCATAGGCGGGTGTTGAACAATGAGAACACATGGACACAGGGAGGGGAGCACTACACACTGGGGTCCGTTGGGGGGAAATGGGGGAGGGGCGGGGGGGTGGGGAGGTGGGAAGAGATAGCATGGGGAGAAATGACAGATACAGGTGAGGGGACGGAAGGCAGCAAAGCACACTGCCATGTGTGTACCTATGCAACAATCTTGCATGTTCATCACATGTACCCCAAAACCTAAAATGCAATAAAAAAAAAATAAATAAAAATAAAAAAATAAATTAAAAAATAAAAATAAATAAATAAATAAATAAAAATTAGCCAGTTGTGGTGGCACACACCTGTAGTCCTTCCTACCTATTCAGGAGATTGAGGCAGGAGGATAACTTTAAGCCAAGGAATTAATGTCCAGGAGACTGCAATGAGCTATGATTGCACCACTGCACTCTAGCATGAGCAAGAGTGAGACCATCCTTGTCTCACAAAACAAACAAACAAATAAAATTTAGTCATGTGTTTTCTAAATAGGTTAAAGATATATTCTATAATCATGTCATTAAAAAAAAAGCCTGAAGATGTAAAATCAAACTTGCAAAAGGCAATGTTTTGCAAATAGCAAGCATTCAATATTCTTTCAGTGTGTAAATATTTAAACTACTATAAGCAAATATTGGTGATAAAAGCACAGATATAATTTCTGTGTGCTAGACTGGCAGACCATAAGATAAAGTTTTGCTCCCAAGGATCCTAAGTCAAGCTTTAACATTCGTTAAATAAATACATGGATGGATAAATAAAACAGGCAACATGTTACCAAATCTGAAATCTGCAGCCTATAATAAATTTAGCTGCCTTAAATAGAATCTCAAATAATTATATTTAATAACCTAATCACCAAAATTATTCTCTGTGTGATGATATTGATATGTGCTCCAAATATGCAGTGGTTAAGAAAAAACCTCAAATCAGTTGCCTGGATTCAAATTTGACCTACCATTCAATAACTGTGTGACCTTTGTCATGGTTACTTAATTTTGCTGTACCTCAGTTCCCTCATCTATAAAATATAAAAATAGTACTTGTCTTGCATTCAAGTATTAAATGAGTTAATATAGTAGTTATAATAGTGCTAGGCACACTGTTAGTGCTAAAATATACTGTTATTTTATTGTGACATATATAGTAGAGCTGAAAGATTTCATAATGTTAACAATCCACAGATATTAAAATTTAACTTGATGAATTCTCAATTGGACAAAACATCTCTTTTATAGATATGACTTAATCATAGATGTAGCACACAATTTAGATCTGTCTTTAAAAAAATATAAGAATAAACAAACAAACAAACAAACAAAAAAAAACAAAGCTGTCACTGAAAAACAGAAATCTTATCCTGAGCAAAATATCAATAGCCTAGTAAAGTTACGTGACATGGAAAAGACCTGTCCTAATATTAGATCTTTCTCATTTTATCATTATCAGTGAACTATTCACATGTAAGAAGTTTACTTTATAGGTTACTGACAAAGGTGTTTTCTTCTCTTACATATTATTATTTACCTATGAGAGAGCTACTACCTACCTAAGCTCAAATTTTAAAAGTTGGAGGCCAATTTTAATATTCTAGAGCACTTAATTATTCTAGAATGATTAAGACAGTAAAATATCTCTAAAAATTTTCAATTTTGTACACTAAAATTTATTCACCCACTCTGTTAAGTGAAATAAGTAGGCTGGATTCTTAAGCAATTCTTGGCTTTGGAGGTATGCAGGTTCATTATTTTCTTTGTTCTAAGAGCTTTGCAATTTCTAAACAATAAGGGTTAAGAATATTAAAATTACCAAATACCTACAATAATCATTTTTCTGAAAACTCATCATACCAATTCTAATAGTATTTACAAACTTACGAGGATTCAGAAGATTTGTGTCGCTACAAGAAGCGTAGTCTTCACTAATTTCGTTAAACTCATCACTCTGAAATAACAGTTAAATATTTAGAATGAAATAAAAGGAAAACCCCTCATTTTATATTCTTAATATCAAGCATAAAATATAAAGATAGCATGATAAATGTTTAAATATTTTTAATTTTTATATTTATAAGGCAATACATATACTGTATGTTCCACATATAAGAAATGTTTTAAATATGAAAGCAGATAGCAAGCTTTTTGAATCTATCAACTTCACTTTCTAGGAAGGAAAGACAGACCAGAAATTGAAATCCTGAGTAAAAGAAACAAATTCCTCAGATTTGATAAGGCAATGGTAAATGTGATAACTCGTCTATGAAATTCACAGTATGATTGAAGTAAACGAGTGGAAAAAAAAAGTTATCAATATCTTCTGTATCTTTTCTACTCTATGAAAATAGGTCATCTGTACTATCAAAAGATATAAAATAGTATTAGGCTTTTCATAAAATCTATCACATTCTTCCCTCATTTTAAGTTCTTCAAGTATTATTAACATCTGTAAAAATTCAACTTACAAGTTTTTCAGATTATCTTATTCAATGAGGAGAGAAACTGCCACAATAACATACAGGCTATACTTAAATAGGACTTTATTCTAACTAGGTATTTACTCATCACTCAAATATTCTCATATTTAGCATTCCCCCAATAACACACATATAACAAAGAAATACTTTGATATATCTGAGATATTTTATAAATGTTAAAGGAAGAAAATACCTTTTTAGACAAAAGCATTTCTGTTTCAAGAAGAGTAACGCGACTAAGGAGATTAGTCCAGGTCTTTTCATCCACCATCACTTTTCCTTTCATTTTTTGTTCTAAATAGTCTAACCTTTTCTCTATCAAAGTTAGTTTCTTAAGATTTTCTTGGCATTCAGCAAGCATAGTCTGTAGTGCAGTAATCTCAGGATTAACATTTATATCCTAAAAAGGTTAGAGAGATGAACGATAAAAATTATACAAACTGAATTTCCTTTAAAATCAATGTATTTCCACTTCCACTGTGTTATCTCAGTAGTTAGGAAAGACAGTCCTGCTTGAGAGCCAAGAGGGTTATCCCTGGATGGAGACTACCTGGCCACTTAAACTAGTTCTGAAAATTTTTGACCTTGATGCCACCATTTTCTCATCTTAAAAAAGAGAGAGAGAGAGAGAGAGAGAGAGAGAGGTAAGAGCAGTATCTACTTCATATGATTCTTGTGATGAGTTAAACTGCATAATTCTCTTAATACCAAGTAGTAAAATAAAACTATTATTAACTAGCTTCCTGAAACAACACCTAGCACAAAGCTAAGAATAAATGACCAAAAACAACACTTAGTGCATTGAGATTGTTCAGTTTGCCATATAACAGGAAGTAGGTCAATGGCCGTCTGGTAGTTTCTGTAAGTGACAACTATATATTGATATACTGAGATCTATAGAAGTCACAAGACATCGAAGCACAGAAAAAGAAGTTTTAGCAGAAACAGTAGAGATCAGACATATATCGGGGTCTGTGGCAATTAAGAGTAATAGAAATAGCATCTTAAGAGAGACAGCAAAGAATAGCCAGGACTCAGAAAGGAAAATGAATAGGCAATAAAGTGCCCATCTTTTCCATTCACCAGTAAAGAAACAGGTGGTAGAGAACCTCCACTGTGCAAAGTAGTTTATCTCTATGTCTCACTAAATTGTAGATTCCTTAAAGCCAAGTACCATCTATTATTCTACTTTGCATTACTCCAACACTTAGCTCAGCACCCTAAACATATCCAGCAAATAATTATTTTTAGTAAGATTTACTGATTAAGTAATTGTAACATAGGTAAAATATCATGATTAATAATTCAAAAGGCAAGAAATATTCCAAAGTTTAGAAGCTAGAATTACTTAAATATTTAAGTAAGAAATATTGGTATCTATTTAAAAAGTTCAAAATTGTTACCTGTTGCTCAGCCTCAATTTCAGGAACCTTTACTTCAGGCATCTTTATTTCGGCAGCATTTAAGTCAGACACAGTAACTGCTTCATTAACATCTGTTACTGTACTTAACGTATCCTCAGGAATGTTAACATTATCTTCATTATACAAGTGACGAATCACCACAGCTTTTTTCTGCATAGGCAAAAATATGGAGAAAATACCTCAATGTTTTCCTCCCACAATTTTTATTTTTTTAAACTTTTAAGTTCAGGGGTACATGTGCAGGTTTGTTACACGAGTAAATTTGTGTCATGGGGGTTTGTTGTGCAGATTATTTCATCACCCAGGTATTAAGCTTAGTACACATTACTTACTTTTCCTGAACTTTCTCCTACCCTCCACCCTCTGAAAGGCCCCAATATGTGTTGTTTCCCTCCATATGCCCATGTGTTCTCATTATTTAGCTCCCACTTATAAGTGAGAACAAGCAGTATTTGGTATTCTATTTCTGCATTAGTTTGCTAAGGATAAGGACTTCCAGCTCCATCCATGTCCCTGCAAAGGACATGATCTCATTATTTTTTAATGGTTATAGAGTATTCCATAGTGTATATGTACCACATCTTCTTTATCTGCTCTATCATTGATGGGCATTTAGGTTGATGGGCATCCATGTCTTTGCGACTGCATTTACGTTTGCTACTGTGAATGGTGCTGCAATGAACATATGCATACATGTGTCTTTACAGCACAACAATTTATATTCTCTTGAGTATATACCAAGTAATGGGACTGATGGGTTAAATGGTATTCTGTTTTTAGGTCTTTGAGAACTTGCCATATTATCTTCCATAGTAGTTGAACTAACTTACACTCCCACCAACAGTGTATAACTGTTCCTTTTTCTCCACAACCTTACAAGTATCTCTCTCTTTTTTTTTTTTTTTGACTTTTTAATAGTAGTCATTCTGAGAAGTGTGAGATAGTCTCTCATTGTGGTTGTGATTTGCATTTTCCTAATGATCAGTGATGTTGGGCTTTTTTAAATATGATTATTGGCTGCACGTATGTCTTCTTTTGAGAAGTATATGTTCTTTTTCCACTTTTTAATGAGGTTGTTTTTTTCTTGTAAATTTGCTTAAATTCTTTACAGATGCTGGATATTAGGCCTTTGTCAGATATAAGTTTGCAAAAATTTTCTTCCACTCTGGAGGGTGTCTGTTTACTTGGCTGATAGTTACTTTTGCTGGGTAGAAGCTTTTTAGTTTAATTAGATCCCATTTGTCCACTTTTGCTTGTGTTGGAATTGCATTTGGCGTTTTCATCATGAAATTGTTGCCTATGCCTATGTCCAGAGTGGTATTGCCTAGGTTGTCTTCCGGAGTTTTTATAGTTTTGGGTTTTATATTTAAGTCTTTAATCCATCTTGAGTCAATTTTTGTATATGGTATAAGGAAAGGGTCTAGTTTCAATCTTCTGTATATGACTAGCCAGTTGTCCAGCACCATTTATTACATAGGGAAACCTTTCCCCATTGTTTGTTTTCATCAAGTTTGCTGCAGATCAGATAGTTGCAGGTGTACAATCTTACTTCTGGGTTCTCTATTCTCTTCCATTGGTCTATGAGTCTGTTCTTGTACTACTACCATGCTGTTTTGGTTACTGTAGCCCTGTAGTATAGTTTGAAGTTGGGTAGCATGATGCCTCTAGCTTTGTTCTTTCTCTTTAGGATTGCCTTGGCTATTCAGGCTCTTTTTGGTTTCATATAAATTTTAAAATAGTTTTCTTTAGTTCTGTGAAGAATGTCAACGATAGTTTAATGGGAATAGGACTGAATCTATAAATTGCTTTGGGCAGTATGGTCATTTTAACGATACCGATTCTTCCTACCCATGAGCATGAAATGTTTTTCCATGTGTTTGTGTCATCTCTGATTTCTTTGAGCAATGTTTGATAGTTCTTGTGGAGATATTCCACCTCCCTTGTTAGCTATATTTCTAGGTATTTTATTCTTTTTGTGGCAATTGTGAATGGGAATTGGTGATTAGTTTTTGGTTTGACTATTAGTTTTTGGTTTTTGGTTGGTGATTAGTTTTTGGTTTGGTTGTTGGTGTATAAAAATGGTAGCAATTTTTAGAATACAATGATTTTGTATTCTGAGATTTTGCTGAAGTTCCTTATCAGCTTAAGAAGCTTTGGGGCTGAGAAGATCCTCCCACAATTATTTTAAATACATGCACAGTAATTTTGCAGAAGGAACACCAATCTTTAATGATTTTTAAAAGTTTAAATGATCATATATAATGTATATATCAAAACATTACAATTACTATTACTAATAATGTGATGACAAAATTAGAGTTATGACTTAACACAATTCTTACCTTTTAGAAAAAACACTTAAATATTTATTAAATTATGTATGAGATTTGTTTTAAACTATTCCAGTTTGTGTGTGTGGCGGCGGGGGGGGGGCGGGTGTTGGGAAATAAAGGCAAAATAAGATTAGCAAAGAGTTGAGAAATTGTTGAAAGTGGATGATGGGTATGTTTGTAAATGTCTGAAATGTTCCATAATAAAAAGTTATTTTTTAAAAAGGTTGCTGCATAATTCACTTATAAATAATCGAGAACTGGCTCTATGAGTAGGACTCATTACAATTTTTCTATGAAACAAACTGCAATTTATTAGACCTTCAGCTAGCAATTCAAAGCTAATAATGACAAAGAAAAAGTCCTGACAAAAAAGCATTAGGTCACGCTAGGCATTTATATAGAAATCTTCTACCTACTTCCTATTCTACAGTTTGTATACACACTATAAAAACATATGTGACTCAGAGGTCACATATAGCACACCATATAAGGCACAGGGATATGAGATAATTTGCTGAAATATTGACTCAACTTGTTTGCTTTTAAACAAAGAAAAGTACTTCTAGACTCTATCTTTTCTGAATCTGAGAACTTTCAATAGTTATTCAAATTCCTGATAAAGATCTGATATAAATTTTGATAGAAAACAAAGAAAACTTTTCTTTAAGAAAATGAAAAGTCTAACGTTTTGAAGTTTACATTTTTCGTGGCTAGGACAATTTAGATTGTCCCCTCAACTCTCATACTGAAAAAGAAGATTGAAAAGTATACTTAATTATATCAACTTATATATAATAAGTGCTCACAGTGTACCTAATCCTGTGCTAAGCAAAATGAAGGTACAAAAAAACCAGTATAAGAAAATCCCTGTTTACATATGCTCCTTCTAGTTGATGAAGAATATAAGCTATAAGTCATTTAACAATTAGAAAATAATATATAAAACTAACAAGAGTTAGATGAGTTAGAGATGCAAGTGTACAAAAATTATGTGCACTTATTCAAAAATTGTGCCTCTGTATCATTCTTTAGATTGTACTCATTACGTACAGCAAAACAGGCACATTAAAAAGAAGTGGCATAAGAACCTTTTCTTACAATAAAACTTCACTTTTTTAAGGTATAAAGAAATAAATTCATATTTTTTTGAGGTGGAGTCTCGCTCTGTCACCCAGACTGGACTGCAGTAGTACAATCTTGGCTCACCACAACCTCTGCCTCCAGGTTCAAGTGATTTTCCTGCCTTAGCCTCTCGAATAACTGGGGTTACAGGTGCCTGCCACCATGTTCGGCTAATTTTTATATTTTTAGTAGAAATGGGGTTTTGCCATGTTGGCCAGGCTGGTCTCGAACTCCTGACCTCAGTTGATCTGCCTGACTTGGCCTCCCAAAGTGCTCGGATTAGAGGCATGAGCTACTATACCAGGCCCAAGAATAAATTTTTATAATAGATTCTGTTTACATAACTCATCTATTTTGGATTAGGACAGAAATAATTCTCTAGATTATACTTCAGCCAGGAATTATTCACATCCTTTATTTAATTACACCATTGATAATTCATCTGATATTCTATCATTCAATCAGAAAGAGTTTTCTCCTGATGGAAGACAGCTGAAAGTATATCATAAAATAACATTTTAGCTTATATCTCCCTTACCGGTAGAAAAACTGTATCTTTGAATGCGTTAGATTCATTTTGCCACAGCTGCTCAAAGCAGATAAGGGCAGAGAAATTATCTCTTAAAATGAAAACATTCAAAATATTAACTGAAAACCAGATTCTACATGTAGGGATTACCAATCATTGGATAATTCATACTTGGTTACAGAAATATAATGTACATAACTGAATCATTATAACCTATCACTATTACTAATGTAGGCTCTTCATATGTTCCCAAGTTTTAGGAAGACCAGATACACAATTAAGAGCAAATGTAGACAACTGCTTAAGATAGTCTTCCTAAATCGCTACTCTTCTGTTTAGGAGATTAGGTAGAATTAGAAACCAGAAATAAAAAGAGAACACCTACTTAATTTTACATTTCTATCCACTGTTATAACTTCAGGAATCTTTCTCAAAAGAATATGACATGCATTGTTAAAATCCCTAGACTCCATTATCTAATTAGAATGTTTCACCAGGTGCCAGTCAGAAAAGTGAACACTGTACATTGGATTAGGTAACTCTTAAACGACATGATGTTTTCTTTGTGGTTGCGTACCTTTCCTGAAGTTATAAGCCTCCCAGTGCTATCAATGCCAATAGCTTCTGCAGATATTTTCTCATTGCTTAAAGGAGGTTCTGACTTAGCAGAACTGATTTTCTTCTTTTGTTGTGATGGAATCTAAAAAAAGGGTATTAGTCAAAATAACAAATTTTGTGTGAAAGCATAATTATATATTAAAATTCCATTAACATTTAAATTTTCATATATGAAATATAACTGACAAATGATGAGACTCAGATGAGACTACATGTCTTTTAAAAAGTAATCAAAATGTATTATGTTTGAACTTAGAAACTAATACCAGCAGTTCCCAGACACAGATGTAAAAAACAAGAGAGTAGTATTTAAAATAAACATCAAGGTTACTCAAATATTTGAATAATACAGTAAGTGTATTATGTAATAATTTGCGATCTAGAGTATTGATTTTATACAGTAAAGTACTGAGCCATCTATTAATAGCATACATTAGCATTAAAATCTGTTCATAAAATTACCTTCTGAAGACTGCTTAATTCCTTGTGCTTTTTCATCACACAATTCAAAATATCACAAACAATTTGAATTTTCCGTTCTGCAAACCCACATTGGATGAATTGCTTTTTTGTCAAAATTGGTTTATAATTAAATTGATCACGAAGAAGCTGCAGATGAAACAGACTCATGTAATAATTGGGAGCAATTCATTTCTAAAACTCGAAATGATAAATGGCCACCTGGTCAGGGGAATAATGGCCACTTTTGAGGGGACAAGAAAAAGTAAGCCATGAACTAAAGAGTACTAAAGTAATTTACAGGGCTGGTGTTAAGTCATGATCCGGGAAAAGGGGTATCAGGTGGGAGACAGGTAGCCAAACATATGCCGTAGAAGAGAAGCTGTCCAGAGAGACGGCCAATATGGCGAAACCCTGTCACTACTAAAACACAGAAAATCAGCTGGGCATGGAAGTGTACACCTATAGTCCCTGCTCAGGAGGATGAGGCAGGGGAACTGCTCGGATTGGAGAGGCAGAGACTGCAGTGAGCACAGTGAGCAGTGAGCCTGGATCGTGCCACCGCACGCCAGCCTGGTGACACAGCAAGACTCTTGTCTCAAAAGGGAAAAAAAAAAGACTACATTTGATAAATGGGTTTTACCATTAAAAATAAGCTTGAATAAAAACCACAGTACTTAAGCAAAAATTAATGATAAAAGCAGGGCTTAAAAAAAACCAAATACAAAATTAAATTAAGTATACACCTAGTACAAGTGTAAATACTAGGGTAGATACAACATAAGACATACTCTTAGACCTCAAAGAATATATCAGTTAAAAAAAGAGTATGTCAGTAATAGTTTCTTCTTACAAACAACTAAATTAACTTATAATTTAAAAAACTATAAATTTTACTGAACATAATTACATTATTCTCTAATATTCTGCCAGTATACCAAATTTTACTAAAATTTGATGTAAAAAGGGCCAAGAACAGCCAACAACAAATGTTTATTTGCTGTCACTGTATTTATTAGAATAGGAAACATTCAAAAAGCAAACATGAATTGTATCTTGATTTCAATAGGGACATTTAAATGAAATAAATACAAATGAAAATAGCCTGTCAACTGAATGTGCTGTATATATTTAAGAAGTTATAACTAAAACATTCATTTAAAAAGATCATTCAATAACTTATAATTATTATTTTATAAACTCAAAATACCTTATAGACAGCATCTATAAAGCGCAAGTCATTCTTTGCTATCAGCTCTACATTGGATTCCATTATAAGTTCTGTTACATACGGTGAGTAAGAGGTAAAAGAATAGCTGATGATGGGCAAAGATGCTGCTGTGTCTCCCTTTATCAAACTGTTAGGGAAAAAAAGAAACATATTTTAATAAACATTTAGTAAGCATAATTCCACAAAGTTGGATAATCAATAAAATATTAGAAATGTTTATAATAATTTAAAACTTAACATTATAGCCATAATAATTAGGTGATACATGAGACCGTCTAGATTCCATTCCCCATTCTAAACCACTCTAGCTGGACTACTAGGAAATACCACTGTTCATCTGCTGGAAAAACTTACTATTGCTCTCTTGTACCAATTATTTACCATTGATTTTCCAAAGCTTAGTTACATTACCTCCTTTGCTCTCTAACGCAAACTTGCAAAGGTAAATATTATGAATTCTAAGTTACAGATGAGGAAGACAGGGCAGGAGAGAGCATGCACTGTGACTTAGCTGAGCAGTCTATTAATTTTCACTTACTGCTTATTCCAAATCTGTACATCATTACCTAAGCTAATTTCTCCAGTCTAGAAAGGTATCCCACTCTTCTTTGCTTATCCAATTGTTATTTATTCTTTATGAACCATTCATCAAATCTCAAGCCTCCCATGATGCTTTCCTCAACTTTCTGATCTATACTGATCTCTCCAAAAAAGACTCCCAGGCTGCTCAGTATCTGTTGTCTCATCATCTGTCTGGTAGTGTTTCCTGTCTTCTTATTTTCTCCATGTCAAGTACCTTCACTGATTTTCCCACAACAAAGCACAGGAGATATTTGTTCAAAATTTGCCAGTTACATTTGTTCAATTTAAGTATTTGTACTTATATAAAACACAAATGTTTTCCAAAAAGTTCAAGATGTTCACATAAATATCCCCATCCCCACCCAAATTTTTAATAAGACAGAGAACAAATACATGATAACACTGCATTTTGTTTTTCTGGACAAATATGAATTGTTTCGTTTATGTTTCTTTAAAAGTACTATAACATTTCACCCAATTAGAAAACTGCTCTGGCAACCTTGTCTACCTGAAACACATTCCAAAAACAGGAAATGAAAAGAAAATGCCTTTTTACAGCAAACTCTGTCCATTTTGTGCACATTATACATAGATGACACCCAGGCCCATATTTAACACTTCTTTTGTCAAACAATCTTAAAAAACCTGGTTATTTTGTTCCTAAAGACTTAGCATATTGAAACAGTAAGAAAAAGACATTAGAAACTGGCATACCAAGACGAAAAACCAGCAAATAGCCAGAAAACATTAAAAATGTGAAAAAATAGAAAAAAGAATCAAGATGAGGGGGTTATTGTGTGTATGGCAGGCAGACTAGCAATGTGAGTGTCTCTGGGGAAGAAGCAGCTAGCATTACAAATCTCAATAGACCCCGCAGATTTTAGTACGTTATACAATAATGTAAAAATTATTGTCCTTAATGATGCTCTTGGGTAATAAGAAAACTAGATGTTTAAACATTGTGTTTAGAAAACACAATGATTGTACTTAGTAGCTAGTTTAACCAAGTTTCACTCTGCTCTTGAATATCTAACTTGGACTTGTCCCTGGACACTCGTTCATCCAATAAATATCTAATCAACTCTAATATGTGCCATGCATCATTCTAGATGGGGGGATTTCACAGTGAAAAAAAAACAAAAAAACAAAAAAACAACGAAGTCCAAGACTTCAGCTTACATTCTAGTAAGCTGAAGGGAAACATTTAACTAATCCATCAATTAATCAATAATAAAAGGTTAAGGGTAAGTGTTACAAAGAAACAGAAGTACGAAAGGATAGAGAACGACTGCAGTACCATATTAGGTTGGCATGAATATAGGATAATGTATGTCGCCATATTCTAAAAACATTAACTCACAGTTGAAAAATGAAAGCTAAAGTGAAAGGTTCAAAGTGGGGTCTGTTAAATGGGATAGCTTAATAGCAATCTTCAGGTTGCCGCAGAAAAAGATCTACTAAATAGAGTCTTCCACATGAAAAAGAACACTTGGCTTAAATATATAAAACCTTTCCTCCATAAGAGAATAAACAAATGACAAGAAAATACTGACAAGAAATGGCAACAATCTCTTCTTATTCTGGATATATTTAACTGTAAGAAATACCACACAACTGAATATGAGAGAGTGGTAGATTATACAATTAACGAAATCCATTATACTTGTATGAGTTTAAAAGTTGTGCAAAGATTATACCTTATACAGATAAATACTGTGCTTCTAAACAGTTACAAATCTTTTAAGTTGGAATTCTTCATTACTTCATACTTAGAAATAAACTCCTATAATTCCCTGCTTTCTCAAATATTTTAATCATTTCAAGTCAGATTTAAATAGGATCCAAATAAAATCTGATTTTTGTTAGGTAGTCTCCCATGTTAAATATTAACTTAAATCACTAGCAAGAAGAATACAAGTAAGTTTGATATCATAGCTTACCCTACACAGTCCACCTCTTCAGGATAATTTAGCAAGCGGAGCACCTGTTCTAGGTTCCGTAAGCTTCTTTTTAAGTCACCTGTTGCCATTATTTAATATCAGATTTAGTTCCACCTCTTAAAATAGTCTAATTTTTCACCTAAAAATAGAAATTCATGAAATACTGGTTAACTGTGTATTTCTGAAGTTTCTCGATTCTATTTTGTTCATATCTCCTGTTGGCACTTACGATATTTATCTTACCCTAGATCTTTTTTCCCGTAGCTTCTTCTTTACTATTCAAGTTCTACTTTGCAACGACTATAAATTTCTGAATACAGGGTAAGTGTCTCCCCTACCATCCTATATGTTTTACTTCCAAAAAATAAGTTTGCCTTATATTCATGTTCTTATAATGTATCTTATTTGACATTTTCCCAAATACTTTTTTTTTGAAGAATAAAGCATCATTTGAGAAGACACATCAGCATGGAATAACATCCATCAATGACTCTTGGATGTTTATAGAGGCTACATAACACTCAATCAATAAAAAATGGATCAGCCTGTAATCCCAGTACTTTGGGAGGTCCACGCAGGCAAATCATGAGGTCAGGAATTCGAGACTCAGCCTGGCCAGCATGGTGAAACCCCACCTCTACTAAAAATACAAAAAATTAACCAGGCACGGTGGCATGTGCCTATAATCTCAACTACATGGGACGCTGAGGCAGGAGATTGCTTGAACCTGGGAGGCAGAGGTTGCAGGGAGCCAAGATCACACTACTGCATTCCAGTGTGGGTGACAGAATGAGACTCTATCTCAAAAAAAAAAAAAAAAAAAAAAGAGAGAGAGATACATAAATTTAGCACAGATTTAATCAGACTCAGAGGGCTCTGATCTCACATAGTTGCCAAAAAGATAGCTTTCCTGAAAACTAAAACCACATTTTACAAATGCAGGGTTCACTTGGATAAATATGACAGATTAATGCACGTTACCTTCATTTCCATTTTCTAAAGACCACTAACATGAAAGTAAGTAATTAAAAATCAGATATACCCACTAGGACAAAAAGAACTAGAGATTTCACATGACAAAAGAGGTATCAACCAAATTTTGAAAAATGAAAGGCAAATGAATAACCAACCTAGCAGGGCAGAGACAAGCCAATCCCATCTACCTATTCAGGAGGAAACCAACTGAAGCAAGATATGTTCACAAATCAGGTACCCTTGATACTTCTGAAAACAGAGGGGTAAGTCCAGGGGGCTAAAATAAGAATGATTATTTGAAAGTCTACATAAGCAGCAGCTAACCCTAGAATTTATTTTCCCTTTGCCTCCTATACCTACACACATAATTTGGTCAGCAAGGCAACTAACTACCTCTCACCTTCCCTGGAAAGAGAAAAGAGTTTTACACTCTAAAGAAACTGAATCAAAGAAGCACCAAATTTGGAAACATCAGGCAAGGCAAACAACATGGAATGAAGTACTTGAAGGCAGAAAGAAGTATTAATGAAAACATACACACACACACACACACACACACACACACACACACACACACACACAGAGAGAGAGAGAGAGAGAGACAGAGAGAGAGAGAGAGAGAGAGAATAAAAAGTTTCTTCCTATATCTCAGCTTCAAGAAGCTGTTTAGTTAGACTTATGTCTTCCATGACAACAGACTATCAAGTTCTATGCTAGAGAACTGGAGAAAAAAATGTCATCACATTTCTGACATCTGAGGAAAATCCCCATTGAAAAGCCCAGGGTCTTGCCCAATAAACCTGCAGCAAACTCATCATTGGTAAGCCCTAGCCAGGTACTTTTTTTCTTAGAGAAACTGAATATATGCCCAAAGATCAATAACTTTTAGAGGGAAGCTTTCAGTATGAAAAGTATATATAAATACCTTAAACAAAATAAGCAGAGAAGAAAAATTTCTTCTCTGGAAATAGATATAATACAGAGAAAAAAATTCAAAATAAAGCTTTCTATTCTCAATGAGATGAGAAAAAAAAATTAAAACCTAAAACAAGAAAAGAAGGATATAATAAATATTAAGTTTGTGAGAATATAAAATCAGCCAGAGACTGTTAAAGTGGACGAAAAATAAGACCTAACTACATGTTGTCTATAAGAAACCCGTTTTGTTTAATAAGAAAAGTTATTAGGAATATAGGGGCATTATGTAAAGATAAAAGAGTTAATTCTCCAAGAAAACGTAACAATCTTTAATGTGTATGCACCTAACAATACAACATCAAGATACATGAAACAAAAAGTGACAGAATCACAGCAGAAATATACAAATCCCCTATTTTATTTATTTGGAGACTTCAATATTCCTCTATCAGAAATAGATCCAGCAGGCAAAAAAAAAAAAAAAAAAAAAAATCAGTAAGGATATACAACATCATCGATCACCTCCATATAATGAATATTTACAGACTACTTCATGAAACAATAATAGAATACATATTCTTCTCAATCTCACATGGAACATCCACCAAGAGAGACTACCTTTGGGAGAAATAAGGCATACCTTAACACATTTTTAAAAAGTAGAAATCATACAGTGTCTGCTTTTAGACAATAGAATTTAAACAGAAATCAACGATAGAACTTAAAATAACAGTAAAAATAAAAATTTAAATAAGAGTTAAAAGACAAGTTTGAGGAGATACAGTTACATATGGATGACAAGATAAAAAAATGGAATAGAAATTATAAGAACATTAGAGGACCAACCCAAAAGGTCCAACATCTCATGAACAAGAATTCTAGAAAAATATCAGAAAAAATGAGGGAGTAAATTGTAAAATTAAATAAAAATATAAAAAAAACCCAAAATTGTAAAATTAAATATAAAGTCTCTCAAGCCTGAATGTCATGATTTTCTAGATTGAAAGAACACAATGAGTGATCAATACAAGAAGTAAAACAAAACTCACACCCCAAGATATATCACTGTGACATTGCATAAGGTAAAAGAGAAGTTTTGAAAAACATCTAACAAGGCAACAAATGATCACATAGGAAGAATATCAAAATAACATCAAACTTTCAATAGCAATCTTAGAAGCTAAAGGATAAAGAAAACTTATCTTCACAATCCTGAGAGGAATTACTTGCAATCTTGAATTCCATACTCAGCCAAGGTATCAAATACCACACCCAGCAGGTATACTCTAGGAATGTAGGGGGTTAGCACAACATTCTAAAAATCAATGTAAGTACATTAGCAGGTCAAAGAAGGCAAATCATGTATTATCAATGGATGCAGAAAAAGCACTTGAAAAAAATCTAACACCCACCCATAATAAAAACTCTCAGCAAACTAGGAATAGAGGGACACTCCTTCAAATTAATCAAGAAGATACCTAGAATTTTTAAACAAACAATACAAATAAAAAAATAGACAAAGATGTTAACAGATATCTCACTAAAGAGAATATATGGATTGCAAACAATACGAAAAGATGCTCAAAATCATTTATTATTAGAGATTTGCAAATTAAGACAAAATACCACTACACACCTATTAGAATGGCTATAAAGCCTACAAAAAACTAACAGCTAACACCACACTTAAAGCTGAGAAACTGTATACTTCCCCCCAAAAACTGGGAATAACACAAGCATGTCCTATCTCACTACTACAAAACACTGTTCCAGAAGTCCTAGCTAGTGAAATGAGGCAAGTAAAGGAAATAAAATACTTAGAAAGAAAAAATAAAATGGTCCTTGTTTGCAAAAGACATGACTTTTTATGTAGGAAATGCTAGAGTCAACAAAAGAAACCTTGAAACTACAAAGTCAGTATAGCAAAGTCAAAGTATATAAGGTTAATATATAAAAGTCAAATGTTTTCTGACATATGGGCAATAAATAATTAGAATGAAATATAAAATTAAAACACCATTATCACAGCATGAAAAATACTTTTAAGTCTAAGAAAATACGTCCATGGTCTGTATGTTACAAACTACAAAACTATAAAAGAAATCAAAGTTTATGGCTAGAACAGGATAATGGAACAGGACCTTCCCAGCCATTGTCTTTCAAAGAAACACCAATTTTGCAAATATTTATGTATAAAAGTGCCCTGATGGGTTCAAGTAGGAGGCTGTGACATCCTTCTGGAGCCCAAGACTGATAGAAGCCACTTTGAGAAGGCAGAATCATGCCCCAGTGGCAAGCATGTGACTTGGGAACTGGCTCCAGATCCAGCAGCAGCCTCACTGGCTTGTGGGCTCCAACCCACCTGTCCAACGTCTCATAGGAAGTCTTGTTTGTCTAGGGACCCAGAAGGAACCACACCTACCCAAGCCCCAGTAACAGGCCCACAATCTACAGACCTGATTATGAACATGTAAACCACAACCTGGCTCCACCTAAGTGACTAAACAGTGGTTTAGAAGTCAGTATCATCAAGGGACCAGCAGGAGAAGATCTTTACTGAAATCAGTCTGTGAAGTATAGAAGTAGTAACTGCTCCTTCAAATGCATAGGCATCACTGAAAGGCTCAAAGGATTGTGAGTAAATATAACATGCCAATAGAAACCAATAATGCTACAGAAACTGACTACAACAAGATTAAGATGCATGAACTGATTGACAAAGAATTCAAATAATCATCTTAAAGATGCTCAATGAGCTACAAAAAAAAAAAAAAAATAGAAAACAAAAAAGAACCAAACAGAAATCCTAGAGCTGAAGAATACAATGACTAAACTGAAAAGTTCAATAGAAGGCTTCAATAACAGACTCAAACAAGCAGAAGAAAGAATCAGCAAACTAGAACACCAGTCACATGAAAGTATGCAATTATAGGAAGAAATATAAAAAAGAATAAAAAGTGAAATGAAGTAATTCTACAGGACTCATGGTACACCGTTAAGTAAGTTAATAAACACATCATAAAAGCTGCAGAAGGCAGAGAGAGAAAGGGGCAGAAAGCACATTTAGATTATGGCTGAAAATTTCCGAAATCTAGGGAGGAAAATGGACATCGAGACTCATGAAGCCCAAAGTTCCCAAGTAGGTTGAAGCCGAAGGGGTCTGCACTAATACACACTATAATGAATTTGTCAAAATTCAAAGACAGAGAAAAAATTCTGACAGCAGCAAAAGAAAACTTATTACATACATATAATGGAGCCCCCATAAAGGTATTGGTGAATTTCTCAGCAGACCACTGCAGGGAAGGAGAGAGTGGAATCACATATTCAACATACTGAAAGTAAAAAAAGAAACCTGTCAATCAAAAATAATTACCTGAAAAAAAGAGTCCTTCAAGAATGAAGGAAATAGCCAGGTGTGGTGGCTCACACCTGTAATCTCAGCACTTGAGGAGGCTGAGGTGGGCAGATTGCTTGAGCTCAGGAGTTCGAAACCACCCTGGGAAACATGGCAAAATCCTGTCTCTACAAAAAATACAAAAATTAGCCAGTCATGGTGGTGCATGCCTCCAGTCCCAGCTACTTGGGAGGCTGTGGTGGGAGGCTGGCTAGAGCCCAGGAGGTTGAGGTTGCAATGAGCTGGGATCATGCCATTGCACTCCAGCTTAAGCAACAGAGCCAGACCTGGAAAAAAAAAAGAACAATGGAAACATAAAGACTTTCTCAGATTAAGAATCTGAGGGAGTCTGTCACTTTCAGACATGCAGTAACAAGAAATGCTAACAGGAATTCTTCAAGTTAACTGAAAAGACACCAAATAAACAGTATAAAAGCATATGAAAGTACACATCTCACTGCTGAAAGTAAACATGAAAACAAACAGAGAATACTGCAACACTGAAATTTGTGGCATGTAAATCTCATTGAACAGTAGTATACAAATTAAAAGACATAAGTAGTATGAATAACTATAACTACCACAGAAATTTGTTAATAGAAACAATATAGAAAGAAGTAAAATCTGAAATCAATTACATATATTGGTGAGGAGGAAGGGGGAGGAGTTTAGAGTTTCTGAATGTCAATGAAGTTAAGTTCTTACTAGCTTAAAAAAGCCTGCTATAACTACATAATATTTGATGCAAGCCCCATGGTAACCAAAATAAAAATATAGTAAATAAACAAAAAAGAAAGAAAAAAATCAAAGTATTCTACTACAATCATCAAATCACAGATGACAAATGAGAAAAACAAGAGAAACAGAAAGCAAATAGAAAACAATGAATAAAATGGAAACAGTAAGTCCTTAATTATTAAAAATTATTAAATTATTTAATTATTAAATTTTTAACAATTAAGGGCTCTCCACTTGAAAGACATGGAATGGCTAAATGGATAATAAGAACAACACCCAACTATATGCTGTCTATAAGAGACTAATGTTTAAGGACACACATACGCTGAAAGTGAAGGGATTGAGAAAGATACTCCATGCAAACCACAACCAAAAGAGAGCAGGGTGGCTATCCATACCTATATCAGACAAAACAGACTTTAAGTCAAAAACTGTCAAAAGAAACAAAGAAGGCATTATATAATATCAAAAGGTCAATTCAACAGAAAGATATAACAACTAAAAATACACATGCACCCATATCAAACACCTTAAAATATACAGCAAACACTGGTAGACTTGAAGAGAGAAACAGATATCAATATAATATGGAAGGAGAATTTGATACACCACTTTCTATAATATACAGGTCATCTGGACAGAATACCAACAAGTAAATTGCAAACTATACAACACTATAGACCAAACAGACCTAACATGCATATGCAGAACATGAGACCCAACGATGCAGAATAATCATTCTTCTCAAACGCACATGAAACGTTCTCTATAATTGATCACAGCCTAGGTCACAAAACAAGTTCTAACAAATTTAAGAAGACTAAACGCATTCTCAGTATTTGGTCTGATCACAATGGAATGAAACTAGAAATCAGTAATAGAAATGAAATGGGAAAATTCACAAATACAGGAAAATTAAATGCTAACTAAAAATTACTAACTAATAATATTAACATACTATGAAATAATACTGGGTCAAAGAAGAAATCAAAACAGAAATTATAAAATATCTCAAGACAAACAATAATAAAAACACAGCATACCCAAATGTATAGGATGTAGTAAAAGTAGAATAAGGTAAAAGTTTATAGCAATCAATGGATTAAGAAGAAAGAGGCTGGGTAAGGTGGCTCATGCTTGTAATCCCAGCACTTTGGGAGGCTAAGGTGGCGGATCACAAGGTCAAGACATCAAGACTATCCTGGCCAACATGGTGAAACCTTAATCTCTACTAAAAATACAAAAATTAGCTGAGCATGGTAGTGCACGCCTGTAGTCCCAGCTACTTGGAGGCTGAGGCAGGAGAATCACTTGAACCTGGGAGGCGGGAAGCGGAGGTTGCAGTAAGCTGAGATCACGCCACTGCACTCCAGCCTGATGACAAAGCAAAACTCCAACTAAAAAAAAAAGAAGAAGAAGAAAGATATCAATAAAGAAGACGATGAAGAAGAAAGATCTCAATAAACAACCTAACATTACACCTCAAAAACTAGGAAAAGAAGAACAAACTAAATCCAAAATTAGTAGAAAGAAGAAAATAATAAAGATTAGATCAGAAATAAATGAAAAAGAAAATTGAAAAACAATTTTATGGGCATAATAGACAAAGGGGGAAAAAGAAAAGAAAAACAATTTTAAAAATTGACAAAACTTAAGTTCATTTTTGCAAACACAAACTAAATCAACAAATCCTTGGCTAGATTTTAAAAACAGAAGAAAGACTTAAGTAAAATCAGAAATGAAAGAGGAGACATTACAACTGATCCCACAGATATAAAAAATATCCTAAGGGACAATTATGAACAATTGAATGCCATCAAATTGGACAATCTAGAAAAAAACAAAGTCCTAGAAAAATATAGCTTACCAAGACTGAATCAAGAAGAAATAGAATGCTCGAATAGACAAAGAACAAAAAAGGAGATTGAAGGAAAAATAAAAAAAATTCCCAACGAAGAAAAGCCAAGAGCCAGATAAATTCTAGCAAACATTTAAAGAAAAATTAATACAAAACCTTTTTAAACATATCTAAAAAAAAAATTTAAAAAGAAGGAACACTTCCAAAGTCATTCTGAGGCCTGCATCACCCCAATTACAAAGCCAGAAAAAGACACAAGAAAACTACAGTCTAATATAGCTGATGAATATAGATGCAAAAATCTTCAATGAAATGTTAGCAAAACAAACACAACAGCACCTTCAACGAATCATACACCACGACCAAGTAGGATTTATGCTTATGAATCAAGGGTGATTCAACATATGAAAACCAACCAATTTGATATGCTGCATTAATAGAATGAAGGCTAAAACTCATATGGGCATCTCCACAGATGCAGAAAAAGCACTTGACAAAATTCAAAACCCTTTCCCGATAAAAAACTCTCAACAAATTAGGTACAGAGAAACCTTGTAACAAATGAGATAAAGTATGAATAACAAAATTAAGTCCATTTATGAGAAGCCCACAGCTAACATACTTAAAGGTAAAAAGCTGAAAGCTTTCCCTGTAAGATCAGGAATAAGGCAAGTTTGCCTGCTTTAGCCTCTCCTATTCGGTACAGTATTTTAAGTCCTAGCCAGAGTAATTAGGTAAGACAAAGAAATTAAAAACATCCAAATCAAAAGGGAAGAGGTAAAATATCTGTTTGCAGATGACATGATCTTATATGCAGAAAACCTTAGGGGCTCCACCACAAATGTGAGAAATAAACAAACTCAGCCTTAAACGAGGAGGAAATCCTGCCATTCGCAACCACATGGATGAACCCGAAGGACATTATGCTAAGTGAAATGAGCTAGCCACAAAAAGTCAAATACTGTATTTTCTCAATATATGTGAAATCGAAAATAGTCAAATACATATAAGCGGAGAGTAGAATGGTGGTTGTAAGGGAAGACGGGGAGAACAAAATGGGAGGCGTCGTTTAAAGGGTACAAAGTTTCAGTTATGCACAATAAATAAGATCTGGAGGTACAACCCAGTGCCTGTGGTTAGCAATGTTGTATTGTATTCTTACAATCTGTGCTCAGAAGTTAGATCTAATGTTAAGTGCTCTTATCACAAAAAGTGAAAAAAAGAGGGGTGGAAGGAAACTTTTCAGGTGATGGCATTGATTTCTTGTAATAATGGTTTGATGGTTTCACAATCTCTGCTTATCTCCAAACAGAAATTGTATACATTAAATGTCTATAGCTTTCTGTATGTCAATCATACCTCAATATGATTGACATACAGAACATGAAGCAGTGCCAGATCCGTGTACACACACCTCTAAAAATAGTCCTTTTGTATGCAAAGTACCCCCAATTTTCCTCTTCTGAGTTTTGCTGTCTACTTGATTAAGGCCCTGGACCACAAAATCCAAGTTTTCACTTTTCACCAAAATTCTTCCCTTCTCGCATGCAGATTTTTGTCCTTCCATTATGCAAGAGAATTTCAGATTTACCCTTAAATACTACAGCCTTATCTATACCTGGTGTCATCAGCTCTACCTAATTCATTTCCTCTTCTTTCTTTCAAGAGTCTACCATAGCCGTTCAGTCCAGAGTCAAAGAGAGTAAGAATTTCAATATTAACTTTCTACAGTGAGGGAAAAATCTGTAGTCTTCAATGAAGGTGGAGAAATATTTGAAAAGCCGAGGAAGTGCAAGCAAGAACAACACGAACTGCTGTCCTGTCTTCCTTACAGTCAGGAGCCGGACGGATCCTCACCTGGGAGGATCCGATAGGAACCAGTCAGTCCGTAAGTCTCCAGCCCTAAGTCACAACCTAATTCTGACAGGATACTTCCCACTTCGCTGTGACTAAAGCCGTAAGTAATCGGGTATGTGAGCAAAGCTCCCCTCCCGCCACTTGATTTAAAAGAATGAAAAGGCGGACCTGGTCATTCGTCCCCGACCGGGGTCTCGGGAAGAGCGGCGGAGAGAGGCGACCTCTGCCTTGCCGGCTCCTCCGGGCTCACGCAGTATCCGCTAGTCAAGAAGCGGGCTGCAGAGGCCCGGCACGACAGGGAGCGGAGAAGGGAGCATATGCAACCACGGACAGTCACCACGGTCTAGCCTCCCGCCACCAGCCGCCGCTACCCGGCGCCTGCGCCCAGACGCGCTTCTCGCGCCGACCGTTTGTATTTAGAACTGTTGGTTCCCGCCCGCCACGCACCGCGGCAAGACCTTCTAAGCAAAGGACTTCTCTGGGCTCCAGGATTCGTAGCTGCAGATTCCACAGATCCGCGTTCGTCAAGACTGCTGTGGAGAATGACTCTGCGGAGAGCCTCCTTAATGGCCAGTCCAATTCTAACTGGCAGCTTAGAAGTTTTTCAGATCTTGATGGTCAGAATGGCTCGGGCTACGAAGTGAGAAACAAGGAATCTATAGCGAATCGTATACAACGGGGATAAAAATGCGTCTGTGTTAAGAGTCGGAAACTAGCGTCACTTCCGGCAACAATAGGAAACGTCAGAACTCAGTCGGCAGTTCTGGCTGCTGCATCTAGAGGGTTATTGAGTTCTGAGGGTTGTAGTGCTGTTTCTGGTACTCTCATCGCGGTCACCTTCACCGGTGTAGACAAGTAAAGTTTGAACAGGCTTCTCCATGGCCTGGGCACCAGTTCCCGGCTGAGCCGTTTTCTTTTTGGCTAAAAGCCCCCGCCCAGAGGCCGATTCGTCGCGGCGGCGGTGGAGATCGCAGGTCGCTCAGGTACAAGCGTCAACCTACGTATTTCAGATCTCTTGCCTCTTTTCCCTGTTCACCTTCACTTTTCTCGAAATAACGACAATCGAGTGCTTGCCAGTTGACCGAAACTGGCCGACCAGCAAAGAGCCGACCAGCAAGAGTTTGTGACCAATGACAGTGCAAAGCATGTTGAGTGACAGCGGTGGTGGCTCATTAAAGTGAGGAATCAGTGTCAAGAGGCGGGACTGAGTGTGCTCTGTTTCTAGGCCACTCACTGGGTTGTAGGTCGGTTTAGGACTCCAAGTAGTAACCCAGCGTCATTAAGAAAGAAAGCTGAGAAATGGCAAGGGTTACGTTCTTCAGGTCCAAGTGTTTGGGTACAGTGTTATTTTGATTCCTAGGCACAGTTTTTGGTTCTTTACCTCTCGCCAGTAATATGAATGCAAACCTAAGTATAGTTAGGATCACGATGGATTGCTGGCTGCTACAGTAGTCAAACTTCAGTTATAAAACTTGGCAAACTTGTCTTTTATTTGTTTCTCAGTGACTGGGTTCTAATCTCTTACATATTAGGTTCTCAATGAATAATACTTATTTGGTAAAATTACATAAATGAATCCTAGTCCTCAGTCATTTAATTTTTTTTTTTTAGTTTTATTTTTAGGTTCTGTATGAATTTACTAATAAAATAATTGATTCTACTTGTTTTACAAGTAAAATTTTCATATTTAAGGGTCCTAGGTGTATCTCCTCAAATGAATATATCATGATTAACTGCAAAGTGAAGACAATTTATGTTTTCTATTTCAGCTTTCTTTTCCCCTCCTTTAAAGTCTGAAGTAACATATTTCTGAGGTAGGAGCTCTATACACTCCTCAACTTCTCTATACATCCCCTCACAAAAATGTTACACAAAATAGGGTAGGTTTCAGAATTCAGAATAATTTGTTTCGTTTTGCTTCATATTAGGTCAGAAATTTGTCGTTAGCCAATTAACCTGATAATATGTTTGATGAGGTACTTCATTAGTTGTCTATTGCTGGGTAACAAATTACCCCCAAATTTACCCCAGCTTAAAACAACAAACATTATCAGTTTCCGTATGTCAGGAATTAGGGTGCAGTGTAACTTCATTTATTAATAAGTTACAGCCGATTAATATTACTTGAGACCCTTGGGTCAATTGAAATACTTCCATCCACAAAATATTGTATTATAATAACTTCTAGATAAGCCAAAATGTTGATCATAATTTAATACATATCAGTTTAATGGGGAATGTTTTGTGTGTTTACTGTTGCTACGTTAAAAGATATTTTCCTTATTTTACAATATGAAAACATGGAATTACCAAATCTTTAATCACAGTGTGTTGAAATTAGTCATTCAGACTTAAAACTTTGGCTCATTATTTAAACAACTGTTAATGTACAAGTAATTTTTTCTGTCTTGATTGAAATTTGGAAACTGACACTATTTCATTGACTGACCCATGATAATGCATCAAAATTATTAATACTAAAGTCTAAGAATTATGCATTTAACTTGTGTTTCTTTTTCTTGAATTATTTTACATAAATAACATTTTTAAACAATTTAAATGAAATACATCTGTTTCTGGAAATCTGTGTTTACTATTTCTTTTCCATTTCTCTTGCATGGTTTTTTTTTTTCTGACAAATTTCTTGACATAGCTCTCTAGTAAACTAAAACATTTTTGGCTGACTTGAATAAATTTATATCATATTTGGGGCAAGTACTTTTTTTTGAGACAGAGTTTTACTCAGTTCCCAGGCTGGAGTGCAGTGGTGTGATCAAGACTCACTGTAGCCTTGACCTTTTAGGTTCAAGCAGTTCTCCCTCTCACCTCAGCCTTTGAAGTACCTGGGACCACAGGCACGTGTGGTTAATTTTTTTTTTTTTTAATTCCAACCATGTTATTTCTTGATTTTTTTTTTTATAAGAAAAAGAATAAAGAATAGGAAGAAAGAGGAAGAGGAAGAGGGAGAGAAGATGGGGGTATTGCTTTATTGCCCGGGCTAGAATGCAGTCTAAATATGGGTATGCCTATAATTGTCCTTAATAATGGAGATATAAAAGAAAATGAGGGAAGAGAATAACAAACAAGGAGCCAACCAACATTTCATTTAAACTTCTAAGTTGAAATGATGTGGTACTGATAAGAGTGTATATTTTGTATATTTAAAGTGGAGAGTTCTATAAATGTTAATTACATTTACTTGTTCCAGATCTGAGTTCAAGTCCTGGATATCGTTGTTAATTTTCTGTCTCATTGATCTGTCTAATATTAATGTCGAAGTCCCCCACTATTGTTATGTGGGAGTCTAAGTCTCTTTATAAGTCTTGTATGTCTGCGTATTCCTGTATTGGGTGCGTATATATTTAGGATCTTTAGCTCTTCTTGCTGTTGCATTGATCCTTTTATCATTATATAATGTCCTTCTTTGCTTCTTTTGATCTTTGTTGCTTAATTGTAACTTCTGCTTTTTATTTATTTATTTTAGCTCTCTGGTTGGTAAATCCACAGGCACGTGTGGTTAATTTTTAAAATTTTTTTGCTGACTGTGCTGCCCAGGCTGGTCTTGAAGTCCTGAGCTTAAGCGATCCTGCATCCTCAGCCTACCAAGGTTCTGGAATCATAGATGTGAGTCACCGTGCTGGATCTGGGGCAGATACTTTATAGCAATATAGAGATTTAAAATATTTGTGGTTTGGAGTTTAGGCAACAGCTTTAGGGAGTTTAACTCTGTAGTCAGCAGTTTGTATGTTTTCCCAGAACAGATTGCATAGGATTCAAAAGCTATCTGAATGAAGGAACCAGATTTTAGCAAGTAAGCCAATCTTCGGGAGACCCTGTATGGAGTAGTGATTTGTGGAAGTCTTGAATACAGGGAAAAAAGAGAAGGAAAGGACAGATGGTAAATGCACATACACACACACCATCGTCTCTTCATTTTATTATTTTTCATTTTTTTCCTCATTTTTATAGAATCACATAATTATTTTATTCAATGTTTAAATTGTAGTAAAATATACATAACATAAAATTTACCATCTTAACCATTCTAAGTGTACGGTTAATATTGCGCCACCATCACCACCATCTAGCTTCATTACTCTTTTGATCTTGTCAAGCTGAAACTCTATACTTATTAAACAATAACTCCCCTCCCCCATTCCCAGGCCTTTGCAATCTCCATTCTACTTTTTGTTTCTGGCTTTGAGTACTCTTAGTACTTCATATAAATGGGCTTATCCAGTATTTGACTTTTTTTGACTGGCTTATTTAACTTGGCATAATCTCCTCAAGGTTCATCTCTGTTGTAGCATATGCCAGAATTTCTTTTCTTTTTAAGGCTACATAATATTCCATTATATATGTAGACCACATTTTGCTTATCCATTCATCTGTTAATGGAGACTTGGGTTGCCTACATGTTTTAGCTGCTGCGAATAATGCTGCTATGAACAAGGGTGTATAAATATCTTTTCTAGACCCTGCTTTCATTTTTTTTTGGGTATATACATGAAAGTGGAATTGCTGGATCACATGGTAATTCTGTTTTTATTTTCAGGAAGCTCCATATTGTTTCCACAGAGGCTGTACCGTATTACATTCACATTAACAGTACATTCTTCTAAGAATATTATTGTTTCATGTCTTAGGTTTAAGTTTTCGAACTATTTTGAGTTAATTTTCATGTATACTGTTGGGTAAGGTTCCAACCTCATTATTTTGAATGTGGATGTTTTCTCAGCACCGTTTGTTGAAAAGACTGTCCTTTCCCCTATTAAATCATCTTGACACCCTAGTCAAAAAACTTTTGACCTGGCCGGGCACGGTGGCTCAAGCCTGTAATCCCAGCACTTTGGGAGGCCGAGGCGGGTGGATCACAAGGTCAAGAGATCGAGACCATCCTGGTCAACATGGTGAAACCCCGTCTCTACTAATAATACAAAAAACTAGCTGGGCATGGTGGCACGTGCCTGTAATCCCAGCTACTTAGGAGGCTGAGGCAGGAGAATTGCCTGAGCCCAGGAGGCGGAGGTTGCGGTGAGCCGAGATCGCGCCATTGCACTCCAGCCTGGGTAACAAGAGCGAAACTCCATCTCAAAAAAAAAAAAAAAAAAAAAAATTTTGACCATATATGTGAGGGTTTATTTCTGGATTCTCTGTTCTGTTTCATTTTTCTGTTTAACTGTTTTTATGCCAATATGACACTGTTTTGATTACTGTAGCTTTGTAAAAAGTTTTGAAATCAGAAAGTGTGTTTT